AAACGGGGCCTTTCCCTCCCGGTGCCGGCCGCAGGCCCCTCTCCCTGCCCTTGGGGTGGGATGAGCGGCTTGGTGCCGAGCCCGGCCCCGTGGGGAAGGGGCAGGCACCCCAGGCAGGGCACCGACACGTCCTGCTCCATCGCGAGGGGCAAGGAGAGCCACAGCGCAGCACGGCGTGAGGAAAAAGTGTTCAGCATGACACGTGGAGATGTGTTTCTCTGAGGGAAACTCAACAGGAGGTCTTTCGCTGAAAGGTTTAACTTACCTGGCGTTTTTTTTCCCACCAAAATCCCTTTGAAGATTACCACCCTGTACTCCCCCGGTTTGGATGTGCAGCTGCTCTTAGCAGGTTGCGAGGGGCACTTAACCTCTTGAGTGCCGCAGGAAAACCAGGTTTTAGAGAGGCTGGGGGCCATGCTCTGCAGTGGGTGCCACCATGTGAGTACAGCGACTTCAGGACTAGTGAAGTGAGCCCTGGAAACCCCGTCCCATGGCTGTAAATAGGTGGCTTGAGATCGATGGGGATGCTCTAGAGAAAGGACAGATTTGGGGATACTGTTGCAAAATGGTGCTGCTACCTTGAGACACATCTGTCAGGGGCAGATGCTTGGAGGGACCGCACAGGCTGGCAGTCTGCGGTGCTGCCCTTTCGCCCATGTCCTTGATGGCTTGCCACCCCGGTCCCTTCTGCGTAGCCATGGACATGGGGACAGAGTGGACAGGGAGGGTGCGATGCCACCCCATGCCAGCCCTGCATGGAGAGCGGCTTTGGGGGCCGCTTTTTTTCCCCAAACTTTTTTTCTTCCCACCCCGCTCCCTTTTGGGTAGCCATGGACATGGGGACAGAGTGGACAGGGAGGGTGCGATGCCACCCCATGCCAGCCCTGCATGGAGAGCGGCTTGGGCAGCCGTTTTCATCCCTAAAGCTGTTCGCTCACCTTTGAAGCTGGGTTTGCAGCAGGGGGGGATCTTGACCCGTGGATGGACAGTGTGGATGTTTTGTGCCTGGACAGCAATGAGTCCAAGTGCAAACCATGTGAGATCTGCACATCTCCTTCAGTTACACCTTGGAAACCCTAATAAAGCTGCCTCTGAACCGCATACGTGGAGCAGACGTCGGGACCGGGAGACAGAAGCGCCTTTTTTCCTCCTTGGGAGCACCCGCCGGGGTAAGTGATATCTGTCTGGGGCACTGCCAGATTGCCAGGCCGAGGGCTCTGGCCCTGCAGTGCTCTGAGAGCCACATCTCACCTGTACAAAGTGGTGTGTGTTGGCCTCGGTAAACAGCTCAGCAGAGACGGCAAAGCAGAGCTGTGCAACACTTGACGAGACGCCTGCGGCCTCGGGGATAGTAGCCTCGCGCTGCCCGTGGCTGGTCTTGCTTTCCTTTGAGGAAAACAATGGAGAAGCATCGCCTGGTGGTGTGTTGCCAGGATTTGGCCCACCTGATGCACTGTTGAAGCGTTCGATAACATAGGATAATTCTTCCAAGTCATTTTTGCCCCATGTTGCACAGTGTATAGTGAAATAAGGAGATTCAGGAGCTAAAGAAAGGCAGCGATCTCATGGAGCTGTGCACATCCTCGTTGATGAACACCATCTTTTGTCACCTTTCAGGTGTGGGCCTGAGCTGTGCCTGTTGCATCAGGCTTTCACCACCATTTCTGAGAGCTCTGCTTTTGTAGATTCACTTCTACATGAAAAGTTCTTGAAGAGTGCAGTAGTCAGCAATTTTACAGCAAAGCTATTTTTCCAACAAGCATTAATGGAATTAAGGGGGGTGAGGTGGGGTGGGTCGTGTCCTGGAGCTAAAGAAATGCAGTTTAAATACACTGGGACAATACATACGAGAAGGAGGATGGAAAGGCAGGAACAGGATCATCGCCTGGATTTTGGAGCCTATCTTTTTGCTGACTGGAAGAGCTGGTCCATTTTTTAAACAGAAATCAAAAGGTGGATGCTCACTGGTGTGAGATTCTGGTCATTAGATGTCTCAGCGACGTGCGATCAAATCCTGCAATGCCCCAGTGACCTCGTCCAACCACTCTTGGAGCAGGATGTCCCAGTGTGAGTGCTCTTGCTGCCTCTTTCTAAATGGCTGCATTTTTGTCGTCATGGCCAACTTCCTCAGGTACCTGCTGCTTGTCAAGGTCAATCAAGTCACTCAGGAGTGATCCATGGTAAAATGGGGTTAAGGCAATGCTTAGCAGAGCAGAGTATGAATTGATTGGTCACAGAAGTCCCGACGGACGTACAGAAGCAGTGGGGTTGATGTGGAAGGGCTGTTGCAGTGGAAGAGGCTGCGCTTGCCTCAGAGTAGCCATGGGGATGGCCTAGGGATAGCCCAGGGGATTAGCCTGCGGGATAGCTTACAGGATAGCCTGTGGCATAGTCTGCAAAATAGCCTAGACTGTAGCTTGGGGAGTAGCCTCCAGGACAGCTTACGGGATAGACTGTAGCGTAGCCTAGAGGACAGCGTACAGGATAGCCCATGGGATACCCTTATGGTGGTGAGGGCTCTCTCCTGGTAGACATGAATTGTCTGCCCAAGCAGGCAGAGGAAGGATGTGAAGCAAAGGCTTGCACCTCCCAAAAGAGTCACCCCACCGCTGACTCTGAGGGCATTGGAAGCACCACTGGCTTCTGTGTGAAAGGCCAGCCTGGCTTCAGCTCCTGGACCGGCTCCGGGACGCTCTCAGCCCAGCCATCTCCCGTGAATCCCCTTTGCCCAGCGAGCGAACCCTGCCTGTGTGTTGCAGGGGCAGCCACGGCTGCGCGTGGTGCCGTGCCAT